TCAAATCAAACATGTTCATACACGTACATATGCACATTCACTCACTACTTTGGATCATTAGGTTTTCACATTCATTTCAAATCAACTTCAAATCTCATCAAGGGGTATTTGTACTACTTGTTTAATGGTTGTAGAATATAAAATAGTCTGATCATTGTAATAAAAATCAACGTAAATGAAATAAAAGAAAAACTAATAAAAAAAAACATTAATGTTTCATCTAAAAAATTTGGACAATTTAAAACCAGAACAAAAAAGCTTTCAATAATAGCAAATTGATTGACTTATTAATGAAGCAAGCGGCAGATATTTTTGAAAATTTAAATTTTTGCTTACTAAAATTAGTCAGAGTTTGTTTACATGCACCTGGAATTTATTTTGATATTTGTTGCTTATTTTTAAAAGTTTGATGGTTTTGACCAAGAAAGTTAACAATATGAGCCAAAGATGAGCCAAAAATTAATAAAGAAAATGCTTCCTTTCACAATTAAAATTAGTAAATGCTAAACAATACGGCATGAAGATCTGGAGTAGAAAGATGGCAATATAACTGTAGATTTGTGTTCTATCCAGCCATAGACTTGTGTGACCAAATTAGACATGAATCTAAAATATTGGTTGTTAGTTTAAGTTTTGTCAGAACCTATTACTTTATTCTTACCTCCCATTACTTACCTGAATAGGCAGAAGGAAGATTGAGTTGTGATAAAATGTGAAAATAAGATGAACTATAGGGAAAATAGGTCATGTCAAATTTTAAATAAACTGAAATTGTATTTTTTTTTGCCTCTAAACAAGGTGTTGATGTCACTAGAATGCAGAATTTAGTTGGGATGGTTGAGGAAATGACAAAAAAGGAACCGGGCTCAAGAAGACAGAAGATTATTATTAAAATTATATTTAAATTATTGAAAAATGTAGGGGACCAAGAAATTGGAAGGGGAGAAGTGCTGTTGGAGTAGAAATAGCAGTTCCATTTAGCTATTTCAACAATAAAATGGTGAGACCAAGTTGTCAATCTAATAGCATGCTTAAATTCATGTAACCAGGGTACTGGAGAAAAAAAGCTCATCTGAATAGTTGCCATTAAAATATTTGTAGAAAAGACAGTGGGAAGTCACTTTATTTATAACTGTAGTCATTTTTCAAATGAATTTCAATTATTTTGGTCGATTTGAAAGAAATAATTTTGTTATATTGTGAGAAGCATTTCTCTGAGAGTGAAAACTAACATGCATGTCTTTTTAGAGCAGGCAATTGATAGTTGGTTCCTTGATGCAAATGAATGTAGCGTCATACTCAAGTTGGCTTTGATCAACAAATACATGTCTTAGAGTTGAAGAAATGTTGAAATAAGACAGTGACGAATCTAACTTCATACATGATACTCTGTGTAGTAAAAGACAGCACAGCTCATCCTTTGACTGAGCCGCTCTTGAGTGCACTCTGCCCAAAGACATAGATGCAACTGAGAGATGATAAATAAATGTGTTACAAACTACTTTATAGTAATTTGGTATTTACACAATCCCACGGCAAAGTTGTGTTGTGACACAAATTCGGTTTAATGTAGGGAGCCCGAGCGCATACACCCAGGACAGGAACAAAAATTCCCTGAGCACTCGTAACCATTGGTTGCACTGGCCTCGGTGCATGCACTCTCTAGTGCAATGAGAAGGTGCGGCCTCGGGCAGCTGTTCCCCAGGGTTGGGCACCTCTCAGTATAATTTTCCTCAGTTGCGACTCTGTCCTATGACACAGTCACCCCTGAGTGCACTCTGCCCAAAGACAGAGATGCAACTGAGAGATGATAAGTAGATGTGTACCTACTCAAAAAGAGTAATTTACACTCAATATATATATTATATATTATCTACTTCTAGGCAATATCACTCTTCAGGTTTAACTAATTTGCATATTGATTTTAAAAAAAGTTTATTTCATTAATTCCCTATCCTTCATTACTGTTCGTTCTTCAAAGATTGTTTTGATTTTCATATAAAAAATAGTTCTCTTTAGGAATATTGTTTTACATAGTGCAGAAAAATTGGCATCTATTTGTAAAACTTTCCTTAGCTATAACAAGCCAATTTTTGAATTAAATGTTCATTTAAAATTTTTGTTTCAACGAGTTCAAGTAGTGAATATATCTTACTGTCTGAAGCGATAGCGAGCAGGCAAAGCCTGCTAGTTATTTATTATAATTTTTACATACAGACAAAACAACTTACTCACTACAAAGATGCATTCTTGTTTTGATGCTCATGCATCTCGACTGGTGAGAACCAAAAATGGTTATGAACAATTCTATTTACAAGCAAGCCACTTATGGAATGTCACTTCCTTTTTCTCATTCAAATTGTTTTTGGAAAAAAAAAACCATAGGGAGAAACACCTTAAGAGGAAACAAGGAAGGATAAAAAAAAGGGAGAAAAGAGAAAGAAAGAAAAAAAAATGACAGAGTAAAAGACAATAGTACTTGTTGATAGGAGTTTGGATAATGAAGGAATGTTGAGGTGTTAAGACAAGAACCTAACCCGAAAAGTTTAAATCAAAGCAAAAGTGTCCGCTACAGCTTTTGATACTATGCAATGGTCAGAAATCTAAGCAAGCATGCCAAAACTCCCAAGCAAAAGAAGAGAGAGAGGGAAAGATGGAAATAGAAAGAGGAAAACAATGAAAGGGAAAAGAGAAATAAGTACAAGGGAATGGCCATAGTAGTAATTGAACACGCTTTTTTTACTGATGAAGGGTCGGGGACCTTAAAACAAAACCAGAATACAGTTAGGAACTGGAGGAACTAAGGAATGATGTTCACCTGAACACTTCACATGGAAATAGCAATAGACTAGCAAGAGTCTTGTAACATTTCATGGAAAATAATTCATCACCCACAAGGATGTGGAGACAATTTAGGACTCTATCAAGGCTGTAAAATGAAGACTGGGCATGTTCTTCCCATATATGGCAACAGTGCTCCATTTTAGGCCAGATCTGGCTCTTGTAAAGGTAGAGAATAGCAAGAGGAGTGTTCATGAATCTTCAGTGTTTTCCTTGATGTACAACTGGTCTACTGCAGACGAATGTAACTGATATTTGATATATTTCATTCCCTCCCCCTACATATATATGATTCCATCTGTAAAACATGTCTGAAGAAGTCCTTTTGAAGTACGAAACATCACATAGGATGTTGTCATTCAATTACTCTCTATGTCACTTAAAGAAAACTGTGTATGTGACCAAACCTTACAAAGACCAAAACTATTAAATGGCTTGAGATGTAAACCAGTACGTATTTTTTTTATGATCCAACTTACTGGGGAGTGGTGCAGGGAACCAACCATTTTCTATAATCTTTAGAGATGGATTTGTATGTAGGTGTTTCACTTGTGGTCTGGGTTGAACTTAAGTCCCAACACAGGCTCAAGGTAAGGGGCCTCCGTATTTATCGTGATATGCAAAAATTCAGCATCTATCTATCCTTGTTCAGTATCTATCTATTTATATATCTATGTCTGTTCAACATCTATCCATATATCTCTCTATCAATCTATCTGTGTTCAGTATCTATTTGTTTATATATATAAAAGTGAACATTGAAGTCAAGACTCAGAGGCGACAGACTGTTTCATGCTAAACACAATCATCAAACCTGATGATAACCGAGGTAGGTTACTGTTAAAAGGGTTGTGTTGAATGAAGTGAGATATAAATGAAAGAAGAGGTGGTAAGAAGAGAAAATTATAAGGAAAAGGAGGATAGATAATGGTTAACCTTTAAAGAGATTAAGATTGTAGTATTTAGGAAAGCACCCCCACGGGAGTCAGTTCCAGACAGTAGCAGTACTTGTTAAAAGCTGTCTGAGTGGAACGTTCTCCTTATATTTGGAATACAGAGGAAATGAGGGTGATTAGACTCTGTGGAAATAGTATGTTGTGTCTTTATTGTAAAGGTTTGAACTGGTGGAACTAAAGAATGGTGTGGAAATAGTGAAAGAGTATCAAGAGGATTGCAACATTGCATCTGAGGGGAAGAGCAATGATAACCAGTCTTTTGTCAGATATTTGTTCAAATGATTTTCTTGTTACAGCCATGTTCTTAGTTAGACTAAAAGCAGTGGCAACACTATTTTGCACATGTAAATGATGAGTATTAGGAAATGCAATGAATTTCAACAACACAGTATTTTATGTTTTAATATAATTGGATAAGAATAGAGAAAATACATTAGTATGCATGCAAAAAAAAAGAAGAAATTAAAAGTGAGCAACTATGTGGTTGATACACACATGTGTATGTGTGCATGAAAATGTTCACTTGTGAAAGAGAAAGATAGTCCCAGTTGGCATTGGCTCTCTAGCATGCTGGGAAAAAAAAACAAAGAAGAGAAAGAGGACAGGAAGTGTTCTGTTTTTATAGTTGTTTGACAGCACCACCTAATGACTTTTTGGTGAAACTAAGTTGGGTGGGGAGGTAACCCACATTCTCTTTAGTAACCATTTAGCATGATATTAATATGAAAATCATACTTCTTGGATCATAAAAAAATACGTACTGGTTTACATCTCAAGCCATTTAATAGTTTTGGTCTTTGTAAGGTTTGGTCACATACACAGTTTTCTTTAAGTGACATAGAGAGTAATTGAATGACAACATCCTATGTGATGTTTCGTACTTCAAAAGGACTTCTTCAGACATGTTTTACAGATGGAATCATATATATGTAGGGGGAGGGAATGAAATATATCAAATATCAGTTACAGCTGTACATCAAGGAAAACACTGAAGATTCAAGAACACTTAAATTTTAAATTTCTGGTGTCCAATGTGTCTAGATGCACAACCTAGCTAAACTCCTTCACTGAAATTATTATGAATTAACTGATAATGTTTCACTCGTTAATATGTATTTAACAGCAAGAAACTCTGCACAAGTTCCTTCACTCTTTGAAAGCCAAAAGCTTCCCTTCATATGAAACTGGCTTTTACTCACTTACCAATGATGTCTTTACGAAAAGACATTTTCCTATGTCGGCTGATACCAGAATCTGAATGTGTGTCTGCATGGCCACCAAGCACAGCCAACTTGTCAGCCTCCCTTTCATAATTATCCATTGCATCACAATACTCCAATGAGTAGCCCCTTCCCGACCGGTGGTACATTGACATAGGTTTCTTGATATTTCGAACTTTCTGAAATTAAAACAAACATCTCAATGAAAATAGCAAAATGGATATACACTTTAATAGTCATCTGAATTTCTTAGATGAAGCATTTCTGTCGTTCATTTTTTGGATAGTTTATCTTTCATCCTATTATTGTTGCTTTTAATGCAACCTTCAGGTTGTTTAACATTCCCTGGCTGTTTAATAAACAGTCAGTCAGTTATATGGCATGCGCAATACACGCTTATATCTTTCGATACATGACTGACAAGGCAGATTTTTTTTCCCACAGTAGGTTGCCATTTCTTTCTGCAGTAGACCAGTTGCCATACAAGGCTATAGAACCCAGTCTGTTCTGTTATTTACCCATAGCTGGGGGAGAAGAAGAGGATTTATATCTTTCCCAAGGGTATTAGCATGTAAGTGAATGTAATGGATTCGACTGGAATTCGACTCAGCTCTCTGATTCCTCAATCCAAGCCACTATAAATTACTCCACCATGCCTCCTGCTCCTGCTTAACATTATAGGTCAGAAATAAAAATGTGGTCTCCAACAAGATTTGAACTGGTATCATTATTTCTTTGGTACTGAAAGTACTTTAAATTATTGAGAATTCCAATCCTTTAATGGCATCAGTTGGGCATTTTTTGTCTCTCAGCAACTGGAGGGAATTTCTATGTGCATGAAAGGAATTGACCTCCTGCAACAAGCAGAAAGATTACACAAGAAGAAAAGTTGTAAAGTTCTAAATCTAACTACAATCAATTCAAACTTCCTCAACCTGTGCTCTGGTGAAGGAATTCATACTAATTCCTACTTTTAGTTGAAAAAATAAAGTTATATGAAATGCTGTCCTGTCTCATCTTGTAATAATAAATGTGACAAAAATTCCACTGAAAAAAAAAAATTCCATAGAAGTGAGTGAATCAGAAATAAAAATCATGAGATAATTAAATATGGAATCACAATTAGTGCAGAGATCAGGATAAAGTACAAAGTCCTTAATAATGATGTAAGTTCACCCAGTACAAATCTCGGGGGCCACAAGGTTTCATTAAGGGGTAGTTTATATGGATAGGAGGGATAGATAACAGTTAACTCTAGACTTGAACAGATTAAGATTGTAGTGGTCAGGGAAACACCTGCTTGGGAGTCTGATCCACAAAGCAATGGTTCACAGGAAGAACTTACTTTAAATGATGAACTGAAGGATTTGTAAGGGAATTGTGGAAATTGATGAAAATGCTATAATCGCATATAATGTGGCAACAGACAGATAGAAATTCATCTGGACCTCAATAAAGAGTTACAGATTTGGGGGCTCAGAAGCAAAGCAGAAACTGGCATCATGGTTGTAATGGTTTGAAAACAGATATAGCACTTTATCTGAGGATCGTGAGCTAATATATTGTAAAACAAAAAAATTTTGAATTGATTTTAGAAGCAGCTTTAAAAATCTCAGCTACAGAACAGGATAACATATAATGCATTTTTCTTGAAGTTTTCACAGGTAGAATTTTCATTGTTCCATTTAATAGTTGGACTGTTGTCTTCAATGTTGTGGTTTCCCAAAGTTCTGAGAGGGTATATCTTCATTTGTCAGACTGTTATCATCATTTTAGCAGAAATAGAAAGTGTTAATAAAAAGCCAACTTAGCAAGAATTGAGGTTTCTCTTCCAGATTGGGTTCTCTGGTTAAAGCATTCATATGAACAAAAGAGTTGAGCATATAAAATTGTTAAACATGGAAAGTTAGAGTTAATATCTTTAATCACCCAACATAAAATTTGTATCTTCAAGATTAGTTGGTCAGCCAACTGAAAACAGTCTCACAATGATGGGGCATATTTGCATTTGCTTTCTGGCAATTTTAAGAGAAATGAATAAAAATTTTCATAAAGATTAACTTTTTCTCTCTATGGTGGACTCTCCCATTGTATTCGACGTATGAGGTTCAAGCAGCTCAGTTCCTAGGAATCAAAAGACCAGACACCAGCACATATGATTTGATTAGGTGAAGACTTTGTGCAGAACCAACCACACTTTTTGAAGGGCTGAATACAGAGACCTGGTGCACTACGTGCCACATGATCCCCCAACCACCCTCCGCAGGTTTTGAATTCAGAGTTGTCCTTCCCCTAGACTATTTGCCATCCAAGGCTATAGAACCCAATCTGTCCTGCTATTTACCCATAGCTGGAGGTAGAAGAAGAGGATTAATACCTTTCCCAAGGGTATTAGAATGTAAGTGAATTAATGGCTTCAACTGGAATTCAAACTCTGCTTTCCGATCCCTCAATCCGAATCACTATCCACTATTCCACCATGCTTCTTTTTCTCTCTCTCTCTATATATATATATATATATATATATATATATATATATGGGAATGGGTAGGATGAAAAATCTACATACATGCACAAATACTTGCATGTACGTATAAATATATTTCTTCCTCAGGTGTTATAAATACAATGCTCAACATTATGGAATAGAGCATATAAGTATATATTAGTGAATATACATGGTATCCAACATCAATAGCACAACTCAAAGTTTCATATAATTTATGCACTCTTCAGGTGCAGAGATTTTCGCACAAAAATGTTACTTTAGATATCTTCAACAGGGTTTAGCATGCTGGCCTTCTTTGCAAGCCCCAGGGCTACAGTGTCACAGGACAAATGTTTGATTTAATCCAATCATTTCTATCAAATCATGAAATGAAGGTCGTTTTGAACAGGCTTGCTTCCAGATCCTTTCTCACAAACATGGGTGTACCCCAAGGCTCTATCCTATTTCCTATGTTATTTCTGATCTTCATCAATGATCGTCCTGATATCATCAGTTCCCAAGTAGATATTTATGTAGATGACACTACTATTTACTCCTGTCTCAATAGAAAATCCAACAGATCTATTAAAGCAAACATGGCAGCTGCTCTGGAAAAGGACCCCCAATCAGTGGTTAACTGGGACAAGAAATGGCTTGTAAATTTTAATGTCTTCAAAGCAAAACTGCTTTCATTACACCTTTTCTACCTGCAATCTGCTAGACTCCAGGAGAACAACACACTGTGTTTCTTGGCCTCATGTTTCCACTGACATGAAATAGAGTGACTACACTGAATCAATTGCTTCATCTACTGCAAGGAAAGTTGAGTCACTGTGTTGTACCAGAAGATTTTTCTCTTCAGAATCCATCTTGCCCATTCACAAATCTACCATGCATTGGATACTGTTGCCATATCTGGTCTGGTGCTCCAAAGAAGGATTTGTAATGTAATTGATCCTGACTGGGCATTTTGACTTCAGTCATTTTCTCATGTGGCTTCCCTCTGTCTTTTCAGCAAATATTTTCATGACAACTGCTCTGACTAGCTTTTTTCCCTGGTGTTCTAAATACATGAATTTAAGTATAACACTGGATTGGCATCTAGGTTCCACCCATTTACTGTTGAAATAGTTAAATGCAACCACCACTTCTACTTCAACAGTTTCTTTTCTTGCACTTCTCACCTGTGGAACTCCCTTCCATTTACTAGCTTCCCTGATAACTACAAGCTTCAAAAATTTAAATGCAACATCAAACTCTATCGTCAGTCTTCTTGAATCCTGTTCATCTTTTGTCCTTTCTTCAATCCTCCCTATTCTCAGTCTTCTCTTTCACTTTCACTCCCTTTAATCCTCTGTGCAGAGGCATGGTGGAGTAATGGATAGTGGCTTGGATTGAGGAATCCGAGAGCTGAGTTAGAATTCCAGTTAAATCCATTACATTCACTTACATGCTAATACTCTTGGGAAAGGTATGAATCCTCTTCTTCTCCCCCTAGCTATGGATAAATAGCAAGACAGACCAGGTTCTATAGCCTTGGATGGCAACTGGTCTACCGCAGAAAGAAATAGCAACCTATTTGTCAGTCATGTATCAAAAGTTACATGATTGCTTAAGCATGTATTACACATGGCACATAACTGACTAAATCCCCTGTGCACTAGTGACATTCCTGCTTTGCTTGGAGTGAAATGATTAAAACAAATATCTCCATTAGGACCCATTTAAACACACACGGAGACTTACCAACCTAAATGACAGTAACTGTTAGTCAATTAATGCCAAATATTTCCTAATGGCTATTTTCACAATTTTCATGTCAGAGTTAGCTCCTCCTTAGTTCCTTAATCCTTCACCAGGGGTATCTTTCTCCTGGCTATAAATATTGGGTAACCCTTTGCCTCACTCTCTCATTTCCCTCAAGCCTTGGGCTGTCACCTCAAGGTGAGGTAATTCTTTCCTCTTCTCTCTCTTTTCAGCTGATATAATATGTGAGCTCTCACAGATACAGTGCTTCCCAAATTCTGGGAACTCACTAAGAACAATGCACATACGTACAAACACTCACCATAATACACACACATAATATTCACCACACAAACTCAATGTAACTGTCCATGTGCTTGTAACTTGTTGTTAATACATATATTTGTTTGTATATAATTATCGGTCTTGTTTGTTTTGTTTGTCTTTTTTGGACTTAATTAAAGTCCAATATTCTCATGTAGCTGGACTGGCTAGGAGGAAATTTTAACCCACGTGTGTTCTTTACATCTTCACTGCAACAGTCCCCTACACATATATGCAAGTTTTCATGAAAAACCTTGACCTTAAGAAGGCTGCTGGTTCAGATAAAATCCCAGTGGTTGTTCTTAAGAATATTAACCCTAAGTTCTTCCCAATTTTGGCAGAATTGTACAACCATTTCTAAAGAATAAATACTTTCCAATGCTATCAAAAGTGTCATGTGTATGTCCAGTTTTCAAAAATGCAAGTGAGTGCACATCCCCATCTCAATATCAGCCCCCCATCAGTCTCTTCAGTGTCATCAGCAAACTTTTTGAAGCCATAATGACCAAGAAAGTTGTTGAGCACCTCAACAGGGAAAATCCCTTGAGCAAAAAGCAATGCAGATTTCAGTCTGCATTACTCACAGAATCAGCAAAGCATTAGATAATAAACACATCATAG